TATTCTACTCCTAGCAAAAATACATTTTTTTTTTTTAACATTATACCAAGGCTCAATAAAAAGTTTTCATATAAGGATCTGATACAAAGTTGTATGAAAATAGAGGAATAATACAAAGTCATATGAAAGTTACGTGAAGATGCTTAATGCAGAGATTTATCTACACCAACTTGATCCAAGAACTCTTACAACTCCTCACTGTCCTGGGCTTTAAAATCAGAGACGTTCATGCTTACTCTGATTCAAAGCATAGTTCATTGGAGCAGTGTTAGATTCCAGATCAGTGAGTTTACCATAAGAAAGATTCCAAAGGATAGTGAGCCTCATCAACCAACTTAGATTACCCCAAGACACTAGTGCGAACATGCCTCAGACTCTTGGGATGCATGGTCTTATGCACCTATGTGATGTGATTTGCCAGACCTCACCTATGTTCCATGCAGGAGCAGTTGAACTCAGTGTGTCTATCCAGCAGGCATCATATGGACACTGATATTCACAGACCAGGAAGAACTCCTCATAAAACTGGTGGAAAGACCCTCTTCAAGTGTGGAATGGAGTACCTGTACTTACTAAGATGCCGGTGACACACATTTCCGTTTAGGATAGGGAGTTCATCTAGATCACCTTCAAACTCAAGATTCATAAAGTAACCATAGGTCCTCTCTCCTTATAATCCACCTACAGCTCAAAGCCATCCACCTGGCATACAAAGCATTCCCATCTGAACTCCACAGATCCATGTAACATCATCACAGCTAGGCATTATGCCAAAAGATAAGACAGCAAGATTCTCTGCTCTGTTAGGAGGCCATTTTGACTTTGGGATTGGTGCATTCTGAATTAGCTCACACCAGTGGCTCTGCACCTTCCCAGTCTTCAGAATATGTTGGCAGATCAGCTCAGCAGGCAGTTCTCAGGCAACCATGAGTGGCCCTCAAAGACAGTCCTGCAGAACATGTTTCATAAGTGGAGATGTATATCAATAGACCTCTTTGCCTTGCAGACCAGAACAAGTGTAACATTTTTATTTCAGAGGGTGTGCAAGTCCAGGCTCCCTGACAGACATCTTCTCTTCCCTCAGACATCTAAGCTTATTGTATGCCTTTCCACCAATCCCCATGATACCGAGGGTTCTGAGGAAGCTATTACAAAGCACAGGACTGAAGATTATGATTATAGCCCTAACATAGGCTAGGTAGTTATGCTATTCAGATCTGATGATCATATCCACCCTGCCTGTGTCTCACAGAACAATGTTCAGATCAAGTTGAATAGCCGGCATGGTAGCTGGATGATGTCCACCACAAGAAGCTGTGAGCTGAAGGTCAGAACATTTTGCTCCAAAGCAGAAAAGTCTTAGCTGGTGGGAAAGAAATATAGTGGCCCCTTTAAGGGGTCACCCTCTTGGGTGTGGCTGCAGACTAGGGATGGTTAGGGTAGGAAGTAATTATCTGACTAGGTGGGTAGGCTGGTGGGACTCATGTAAGCCATTGGCCCCCTGTCTGCATGGGGGAAGGTGCATAAACTCTGTTCCTCCACCTTGAACCAATGTCACACCTAAATTAGCAGCACCCACCATTCCATCCCTGGTTTTTTTTGTCTGGTGAGGACGTGCTAGTTTCCTTTTTTGGATTGGCAAGAAGTTTTTTTCACTGCCAGATTAGCATGGATGGCTGGTTTTCACCTTCCTCGCAGGAGCTCAGTGACCCTTTGGTGTACATCAGGAGGTAATGTTAGTGTTGTCATAGTTTAGCATATGTGAGATGTCCAGTGCAGGTACTGATTTCATGGGGGGGGTCTGGTTTCTTGATAAATTGGAAGTGGACTATAGTGGAAGGCATCCTGCAAAGAGGCTGTATAATGGATTTGGGGCTCCTAACATCTGGTGCTCTGAAGAGACTCCCCCCTTTCTCTTGCCTCTTAACCATCATATTAGGGGAGGGTGTTTGGGGTCCAAGCAACAGGTTGGGGACCAGTTTTGTGTGTGTGTGTGTGAGGGCTGACAGCAGCTCTTCACCAGCTGGAAACAATTAGAAAGGAATCATGACCCACACTGTGTGAATTATTGCTGGATAGTTCCCAGAATAATTAAATTAATAAAGATGCAACCTAATAAAACCACATCCCTTACATCTTGACTATTACATGTCCAGGACGGTGTTTTCTTTGCACCAGCAGAAGAGACTACTGCTGTCAAAGGCTTGTTTAGTGCTTCAGTAAAATCTGGTTCCAGGTGCTTAACAAATTACTTACACCAGTTCAGTGCCTTGACTTCTTAAAACTTCTGCAGCAAACATACCTTTTGAATGGTTCAACTCCAACCTTGACAATGACTATGGCTGATGTGATTGATGGATGATTGTAGATGTCCATGTTACAGTAGCATCTTCCTCTTCAGCAATTAGGCATCTATCCTGGTAATTTGTGTTGCGGATATTGGCAAGAAAATGAGGTGGGTAAGTGCTTGTTCCATTTGCTTCTTCACTGCCTGCAATTTAGCTTCACTGAGTGTTTCTTCCTGCAGTGTTGCTTAAAATTCTTTCCAAATTTCAATGGCACCAGCAATAGAGCAGCTATATTTCTGCAGATTGTCCAAAGCTTTGGAAACAGGTTTCAGTATATTAAGCTTATCTTCTACATTTCACTTAAGTCCGATGTTGACTACTTTTGCTGTGTGTGACGGGTTCCCCAGGGTGCAATCTGAAACTGGGGTACTGCTGAGCCCTCTGGTGTACCAACCTGGGCTCTCTCTCACACTGTGATGTTGTGACAAGCTGCAAACCTCTCCAGCTACTGCACTTACACAGCCATCCACAGGCAGGGATACACCCAGCTGAGTTACATGAATGCTTCTCCTACCCACTCATGAACCAACAATAGAGACACTCCAGCGACTTCCCACAGCTCCCCAGCCCAGGATCATCTTGCCCTGGTCAGAAGCCTGACCAGTGTAAGTTTATTACCTAATCTGCCCATCCCTCAATGTGGAGAGGACATGCACCAGCTTTTGTATGCTGCACAGATTTCCCAAGCACTTCAACCAAAACACATTGTTTTAGGTAAAATATAAAACCGATTTATTAACTGCGGAAAGATCAGTTGGTTACCTAAGAAATAAAAGTAAGATTGCAATCTGAGTTCTATTGACTAGACAGGATTTGAATCAAGGAATGTCTCACCCTGATGGTATAGTGCAGGGGTCGGCAACCTTTCAGGAGTGGTGTGCCGAGTCTTCATTTATTCACTCTAATTTAAGGTTTCGCGTGCCAGTAATACATTTTAACATTTTTACAAGGTCTCTTTCTATAAGTCTTTAATATATAACTAAACTATTGTTGTATGTAAAGTAAATAAGGTTTTTAAAATATTTAAGAAGCTTCATTTAAAATTAAATTAAAATGCAGAGCCCCCCGGACGGGTGGCCAGGACCCGGGCAGTGTGAATGCCACTGAAAATCAGCTCGCGTACCGCAGGTTGCCTACCCCTGGTATAGTGCCTTAATACAAGCTAGGATTCTCCTTTCCAGTCTGGCACTACCTCCGCCATTCCAAATCTTTGTCCACCAGATGTGCCTTCCAGGTGTGGAGTTGCGGGAGGAGAGAGGCCAAATGATGATATCGCTTCTTCTTTTTTATAGGTTCTTCCAGCTTGCTCGAAAAATCTTTTGTTGTGATGTGAGTCAAGCAGTCTCCATTGTCTGTGTTCCCTCTGAGAAGTTTTCATTGTATTCCGGTCCTCAGATAGTCCTTGGTAGTGTGGATTCCCCTTAATTGGCCATCAGTGCTGTCTGGCTTCTCCATTGTTGTACCTGAAAGCCTGGTTGTGGGTGTTTTCCAGTATTACAACATATTTCAGTAACGTACACACAGCAAAACTTCATAACTTCACATACAATGATGGCACATACAATCCAACAGAATATTCATGTTCAACAGATCAAGACTTTTAAAATGATACCTCACAAGGTATACTTTTTACAAAACATCACAATTATATGACAACGGTGAATATAGTGATGCCAGGGTGTTGCTTTGGGATAGTGTGTCACACTCTGAAACTTCCATCTACTTTATAGAGAATTTCTTCACAAATTGTCATCAGGATAGGCCAGTAACTAATAAATAACTCAAAACAGTTAACCACTGAATTCCATCAGACATTGTGAGGGATAATTAGTTTTGATCCTACTCTCTTCAGTGAAGCTGAAGCAAAGTGATTGTTAGAGAATTATTTTATAATTTTAATGTTTTACCTTATTCCTGGCATACCTGAGTGTTTGGCTAAATTTTTTTAATCGCATGATTAATCACTATTAATTTTTTTAAATTGTGTGCTTAATTTTAAGATTGGAAAACAGGAATAGAAATAAGCTTAAAAGTATTTGAAAGTTCTGGCAAGTACAATAAGATATTACTAAGTGATCTTCATGGTTAAAGATAGAATGTCCACATGTGCTTTCAACTGCATAGTGAAATGCCTAGACAGCTGGCCAGAATGCCTTTAAAAATGACCTCCTTAGTCCAGAGGTCACGTGACCTACAGTGATCATAGGGCTAGGAACCTTACAGGCAGTAGCAGATGTGGAAACATAATTGATGTATCTATTATTCCTTTAGCAAATGAATTTTAAGTAAATCAGTGTCAATTACAAATGCAAAAATTAGACAAATCCATTATAGATGAGAATATGAAAATGTTGCATTCCTAAAAATTGCTCCCTTTTGACTGAAGAATGCAAAAGGTACTGAAAAATCCAAAGTGCATCATATTATGTAAACATACTAGATGAACCCTAAATATTGTATAAAATTATTAACTTTATATAAAACCTTTAGAAAATAATTGTCAGCTCTCTAATTCGAATATTGATCTGATGGTTCAATATGGGTGATTACATCAGTAGCCAGTCCAGGTATTTATAGACAGATTAGAATATGTTTTAAAGAACTGTCTAGTGATGCACTATATACATCTAATACTTTCTTTTATTTCTACAGGTGGCGTTAGTTGGATTAGATGTCCTAGGTGCCTTTGTTGACAGACTATCAGGACACTTCAAATCCTATGTACCAACTGGTGAGTGAAGAACTAGTCAATTCTCCTTTTCCTTCAAAGAAAAATGTAGGAAAAAAGTGCTGTTTTCTTAGTAAACATTCTTATTTTAGCAACTATAGTAGACAAATGGCGGAGAACTTTTGGTAGTAACTATGACCCTAATCAGGTGTAAACACATGCTTTTTAGTGCGAGTGTATCTGCAGGATGAGGGCCTATATGCCCCATTAGGGTTTGACTTACAGATACTTATATTAACTTGTCGATATTATGTATGTACTTTACCTTTATATTTTAAGACAGCTATATTGTGATTCTTCAAGATTCCAAGAATTTTTTCTATCATTGATTTCTTGCTACATAGCTGCTTACTGTTCTCCATTATCTAAAATTGTGACAACTTGATTGTATTACTTTAAAATTATATTAATAAATTGCAGTTTCTATTTGTACAATGTCTTAACCAGGGTTCCATGTATATATAACATGATTCTGCCGACACAGAATTTGCTACATAATCCATCTCCTGCAGTAGAATTGTGCTGTAGGTTTTAAGGTTTCTTAAAAAACAACAACAACAAAAAAAAAACCAAACAAACAAACAACCTTCCC